ATGTTGCTGTGCCCCTGCCCTCTTAAGAGCTCTCTCCCACGCACTCAAACGAAGACACAAATTTTCTGCCACACAAAACACATAGCCACTCACACAAGGAAGCTCCCACGCCCTTCTTGCAAGTATCCATAGTCTGACAAATCTCATGCTTATATTCTCTTTGACCTACACGTGCGCGTGCACGCGCGCACACACACACACACACACACACACACACACACACACCCACCAATATCCACCCTCAAAACCAATCACTCTCTCTGACTTTCATGCATTTCTGGGAGGTAGGAAGGGCCATGTGTGTGTGTGGTGGAGGAGAAACATATATATGTAATGACATGTGCATGTGTGAGAAAAATCTGACCTTACCCTAGGAAGTACTGGCCCCACTGAGTAAGAGGACCGTGGGGCAAGGGGTGGAAAGGACAGGATCAAACCTAGAGCTCTCATTAGGAGGGATAGGATCCAAGATGATGGACCAGAGGTGGCAGGCTGGAAAGAAGTCTGGCTGGCTACTCCTGTCAGGTGCCCCTCTGAAATGGCTGTCATCTGTGCTTGGCCTGCTCTCCCCTCTCTTTCCATCTCCTGCTGCCCTGAATCTAATTCCTTCAGGTCCCAACTAAAATCCCACCTTCTACAAAGAGCCTTTCCTTGTCCCCATTCACAGCAGTGCCTTCTTTCTGAGATTACCTCCATTTTCTCCTGTATATACCTTGTTTATGCATTGTTATTTTCATTTGTCTCCCTCATTAGAGTCTGATATGGGAGCTTCTGGAGGACAGGGATGATTTTTACCCTTCTTTGTATATCCAGTGCTTAGTACAGTGCTTGACAAATAGTAGGAGCTTAATAAATGTTTGTTGATTTGACTTGATCTGAAATGCGTATCAGGAGGAATGTTAAGGATCCTTCCTGACCTTTGCGCTGAAGGTAGACAGTCTATGCTATTAACAGAGAGACTGTGGCATGCATTTGGGCAGAGGGCAGTAGCGAGAGAAGATGGCCACATAGGAGTGTTAGTCTAAGCTCAGAATTCTCTAGGTCTTCATCTTACAGAAGCTGCATAGCTAGCCTGCTTTGTGTCTCCAGGAGAACCAGTCTCCTACCTTTGGAAGTGCCCTTTCTACCGACCAGAGCATCCAAGCCTTTCTAACCTTTTCTGGACTTTGAGTGCCCTTATAATGCACACCAAGCAATATGGGTAATGCATTGCTGGTTTTTTTCATTCAGTCGTGTCTTCTTTGTGAAGAAATGACCCTGGCTCTTAAAACTGTGATCCAGCTCAGCCTTACCTAAGATTTTCCTTTTCTTTTCCACTTCTTTTTCAATTACAGTAAAATTGGATTTTGAGACTTTTTTGAGGCTTTGAGACTTCTTCTTCAGCAACCTGCTGGTGCCACTAGCCTTTCCTGACTTCCTGCTTTCAGTTGTTTCTAGTTCTTCCTCACTCCTTCCTTCCATCTTTGCCTCCCTCCCTCCTCCCTCCCTCCCTCCCTTCTTCCTTCCTTCCTTCCTTCCTTCCTTCCTTCCTTCCTTCCTTCCTTCCTTCCTTCCTTCCTTCTTTCCTTCCTTCCTAAGTACACATGAGATCAAGGTTAGGCCTTTCAAAATGGCTTTTCTAGCAAGTAACTTGAATTTGGAGTCAGAGTAGCAAGCAGTCAGTCAGTCAACCAGCACTTATTAAGCACTTACTATGTGCTAGGCACCGTGTTAAGCACTGGGGATACAGAGAAAGGCAAAATGAACTAACAAAAAACTAATCCCTGCCCTCAAAGAGCTCACAATGGGAGAGACAGCTTGTAAACAACCATGGACAAATGAGATCCATGCAGGATAAATTGGAGGAAGTCTCAGAGGGAAGGCACCAAAATTAAGGAGGATTGAGAAAAGAAGAAATTGAACCAGTAGATATGGGTTCAAACCCCAGATCTGTATCAAGAGGTCATTTGGATATTTGTCCTGTGGCCTTTGGTGTAGGTACCTTTAGAGAAAGCATTTCAGCTCTCTAGCTCTCAGCTTTCTCTTCCAAATGAAGGTGTTAGATTAGATGATTTACAGCCCTCCCGGCTCCAAATCCTGTGATGTGGCAAAATCCTAATAATAGATCAGTGACTGTGATACCAGTGCCTACCAGTATCCTGAAGTCAATGGATTTAGAGCGGGAAGGGACCCCAGAGATCATCTCATCCAACGGCCTATTAAATAGATGAGCAAACACAAGCCCTGAAATGTTGAGTAATTTGTCCAAATTCATCCACCACTCCTCATTGTTCCTGAGTTTGAGGCATTTTGTGTTTTTTTTTTCCCCATTTAATAGCTAGGCAATTTGGTACAAGTCCCTTAACCACTAGCCTCAGTTTTCTTATCTGTGAAATATTAATAACAAGCCTTCCACTATCTGCTTCCAAGGTTTTTTGTGAGAATAAAATGAATCATATCTGCAAAATCCTTTGAAAGGCAGTGTGGCTCAGCTGGTCTTACAGTCAGGAAGACCTGGGTTCAAGTCCTTTCTCTGACAGATCCTGGCTGGGCAATTCAGGGCTAATCACCTAATTTGTCAGTCCTCCAAGCAACTTTCCAAGACAATAAACAGGTCTTGATCAGCATTGATGGAGGAAGTTCTCTCATTGGGAGTTCCCCACACAAATTAAGTTGTAGGTCAGGACTAGCCAACCCCCCCACCTTCATACTCTGTAAGCCTTACTAAAGAGAAAAAGAATAAATCGTAACAGACTTAGAAAGTCTAGTAATTCTGGAATTATGGTAATCTTATCCTGAGATGTCCCCAATCTAGGCATCTGAAGTCAAGACTATGTCTAAGTCTTGCTCATCCTGCTCCAATCCACCTAATACCCAAGCCTGGCTCCCCAACATAGTTGCTTTTGAAGAAGAACCCAAACAGGTCCTCTCTCAGTAGTTCTTACTTAAAGTCAGGCTCCTCCAAAGACTTTGGAGCCCTTCTACCAACTTCCAGGATCAGGTCTACCAAGTATAGGGTCAAGGCCCCACCTTGCAACACTAAATAAAGGATCATTTGTCCCCATAATCTTGTCTCTTTCACTAGATTAGATGGTCTGTTTGTATTTCCCACAGTGTCTACCACTTTGCTTGGCACATAGGTCAAGTCAAGTCAACAAGCATTTATTAAGACCTTATTATGTGCCAGACACTGTGCTAAGCCTTGGAGATTAAAAAAAAAGGCAAAAGATAGTCCCTGCTGTCAAGGAGTTCACAGCTAATGGAGGAGGCAATGCGAAAACAGCTATATATAATCAAGGCATGTACAAGGTAAATTGGAGGTAATCAGAGAGGAAAGTGCTAGTATTGAAGGGAATTAGGAAAGGTGGGACTTGAGGTGAATCTCAAAGGAAGCCAGGAGGGAGAGGGAAGGAAGGAGAGCCTTCCAGACAAAGGGAATAGCCAGAGAAAGTTCACAGAACTGGGGCTTGCTGGAGGAATCAAAGAGAATCCAGTGTCATTGGACTGAAGAGGTTGTGTAAAAGGAGGAAGGTTTAAAAACACTGGAAGAGTAGGAAGGCAGCAGGTTGTGAAGGCTTTAAAAGCCAAAGAGAGGATTTTATATTTGATCTTGGAGGTAATAGGGGGCCACTGGAGTTTATTGAATGGTGGGGTTTGGGGGAGATAACATGGGCAGATCTGCACTTTGGGAAGAACAGGTTGATAACTGGATGGAGGATGAACTGAAGTGGGTAGACAAGTTAGAGAGAGTCAGCAGCAGGCCATTGCAATAGTCCAAGTGTGATGTAATGAGGGCCTGCACCCAGGGTGATGGCAATGCCTAAGGAAGAAGGAGGTGTATACAAGAGATGTTATAAGGATAGAATCAGGATTGGCAACAGATTGTATATAGGATTATGAAAGAGCAGAGTTGAAGCTGACATCTAGATTGTGAGCCTGAGGGAGTGGGATAATGGTGATTCCTTCAACAGTAAAAGGAAAGTTAAGAAGAGAAAAAGGTTTGGAGAAGGCACTTAACAAACATTGACCAATGTAATATGATAGAAAGAGTGCTAGACTTGGAGTCAGAAAATCTGAGTTCAAATCTCACCTGTGATACTTACTGCTTGAGAAATCCTGAGCAAGACCCAGTTTCTTCTTCTATAAAACAGAGATATAAATTGGCCCCTAATGGTCCATTGACAGACCATCCACTTAATAACTTGTCTTAAAATTTTGTGCTACCTATTTCATAGGATTGTGGGGATGGTGCTTTGTATATTTGAAAACACTGTAGAAATCAGTTATCGATTGAGAGAATCTGAAATAGCGGACTGAAAAGGCAGCAAGAGGGATTCAGGTGAGACATAAAGGAGAACAGTCTCTGAACATTGCATATATGGGGACCAGTGACCAAGACAAGAACATGGAATGATAGAATAACTTAGCAGATAAGAATGTTGGGCTTGGAATTGGGAAGATCTGGTTTCAAATCCTACTTCCAATATTTATTAGCTGTGTGACTATGGGCAACTCATTTTGCTTCTCAGCCACAGTTTCCTCATCTGCAAAATAAGGATGATGATACCTGTAGGACATCACAGATTGTTGGGAGTCTCAAAGGAGAGTGTATATAAGATATTTTGAAAGCTTTAAGATATAAAATGTCACAGGATCATAGATGTAGGGCTAGAGAGGGCTTTGGGGAAAATCTAGTTTCATTCCCTTATTTTACAGATGAGGTAACTGATGCTTTAAGAGGTAAAGTGACTTGTCCAAAGTCACACAGATTGTAATGAAAGAGACAGAATTTGAACCCAAGTCTTCTGGTTCAAATTGAGCATACTTTCTTCTATACTATGGCAAGTGAAAAAAAGCAGACTCAGGACTCCTGTCAGCTGTCACTGTCTTTATTCCTATGACTTCTTTAAGTCCAGGATCTTTGCACCTATTGTCTCTCTGGGAGAGATGAGAGGCAGAATTAGCAACAGGATAAAATCAAGGAGTAAATCTAATGATTTACCAACACCAACAAACTCAGGCAGGATTCCTTTCATACAGTTTTATTTCCACTCATATGGAAAATATGAGAAGGGAAAAGCTCCACAAAGTTAACATGACCAGGAGTGGATACACGTACAATGGTTGAGTACATGCACATGTTATATTTGTATACATACAGCATAGAGGCTTCTGCCTATGAAGATGTGGAGGTGAAAGGCATCCGAGAGAAAGCAATAGGTGTGATTGACTCTAAAGCCAGTGTACCTCTGAGACTGTCCAACTTGCTACTGCCATCGGGAACAAGGGCACCCATTGAGGAGGAAGAGGAGGAGGAGGAGGAAAAGAGGAGGAGAAAGAGTACAGTCCCATGAGGATTATGTTTATGCTCAAATCAATCAGCTCTGATTTGCATGGGACTTGTAGAGATCCCTCCTTCCCTCCCCCTAGGTACCATGGGAGTAGTGCTTACCTGACCACCAAGTGAGAGGAACAGAGATTGAAAGTCATGTGTAAGGGAAGGGCCTTGACCTAGCCATATAAGCATGGCTGCTTATATCCCCAGTAAAATACTGACTTTAAGCAGGAGTCTTACAGGAACTAATTGGAAGCAGAAGAGCAAATTACTTAATCTACTAATTAATTAATAGCCAGGGGAAGAGATCTTCTGTAAAATGGCATCTGGATTCGACAAAGAAGACAGGAGATGGAGACAAAATGAAGAGAAGAAAAGAAGAGAGATACATTGGAAACCTCTTGAAGGCAGGGATTAAGTTTTGAGAATTCTCTTTAACTATCCTATTCCCTCAGGGTTCCGTTCAGTGTCACAAATACAGTGGCTGCTCTTTATGATAAATAGATATTGATTAAAGTATAAACCATTCACAATATTAACTTCCACTTGTTTTCTCTGTGTGTGTGTGTCATAGGTGTGTTTTATATGCACAACTCAATATTGGCATGTTCTCCTTCCCTGTGGTCTATCTCCACCATCACATTTGGGACTTCACAGTACAGACTCACAGCCTCTCTTTCACAACCCATCCCTTCTCCACCTCTGCTTATCCCCACCCTCGTGTTCAGGCTAGGAAGACATGAGTGAGTGTCACCTAGGACAGACTATGGAATGAGGTTAAAGAGAACAGGGCAGGAACATCACTGGGAAATACTTTCAACAAGTTGTACAAACAGCAGCCTGATGCTGAAAGCCTGTAGCTCCCATTACCATATTGCTGGACATTAGGTCTGTACTGTCTCCTGACTATGATGAGAAGCAGTAAAAACCAGGTGCTGGGATACACTCAATTCACTGAAAGTTCAAGCCACAAGCATTTATTAAGTACCTACTATCTGCAGGGTTGAGAATATGACAGGAAAGCACAAAGGCAGGATGAATTAATAAGTATCATTCCTTGATCCCACTTTGGCTAAATCCCTATAGTATCAAGCCCAAAAGAACAATACCAGTTAAAGGAATTGGGGCTGTCCTATGCTGACACCAGGAAGGAGGGCAGAGGTACAACTCAGGAGACCTACTGCTATAGAAGTTTACCCTCCTATCCTGAAAAATATGTGGGTTACCTAAACCAAGGGCTACCAAGAAAATGCCTGAAAGTGGCAAGAGGGAGTGGGGAGGATAGGAAGTATATGATAATAATGAACACTGGACTGGCATCTGGAGAACTGGTTCCTTGTCTTATCACCAACTACCTCGGGCAGGGCATTTCATCTCTTAGTTTCCTCAATGACAAAATGAGGGAAGTGGACAAGGAAATGACCTTTAAAGTGCCTTGTAGTTCTAACATTACATATGGTTCTAGAATTTTCAATCCCCATAATCCTATATTCTATATCACAGATCAAGCCAAAGGAATATTTAAAACCCAGAGGCAAAGTAGATTCTAGAATGGGTAGATATTGCACTAGAAATTATTTAGTCCCACCTTACAATTTTCAGATAAGAAAAATACACTTAGTTTGCACAATTATATCCCAGAGTATCCACATTTCTTGTGTATATCATTATCATTAATGGTCTTTGAAGAATCATGGAGACTAGGAGAGGTGCTATGACTGGAGATGATCAAATGCCCCAATTTTCAAAAAGGTGGAGGAAAAAGGTGGATGTTGAAAACCATAGACCAATAAGTGTGGTGTCCAAGGCCTGGCAAAATTATAGCTCATCTTATTGAATGGATTGGTCTGTCAGCTGAGCCAAGTTTGGATTTACTAAGGACAAATCACGTCATTCTCTCTCTCTCTCTCTCTCTCTCTCTCTCTCTCTCTCTCTCTCTCTCTCTCTCTCTCTCTCTCTCTCTCTCTCTCTCTGACAGGGTTACTAACCAGACTGGAAGATCAGGAGAAGATTGTCATGACAGCAAATCTGGATTTCAGCGAGGCACTTGACAAACGTTCTAATGATATCCTTGTAGACAAGACTGAGAAATACATGGGCTCACTGAAGAACATTTAGGTGAATTTGTAACTGATTGAAAGACCAGACATAAAGAGTATTGATTAATGGATTGATATCAACATGGGATGAAATCTTTTAAGTGGCTTGCTAGAAGGATCTGTCCTTGGTGCTGCTCAGTTCAACAGATTTGTAAGGAGAAAGGCATAGATGGCAAATTTGCTGAGGATGTGAGCAGAGAAGGAAAGCACATGCATTGCATTTTAAAAGGCAGAGACAAAGAGACCTCAAGGCACTGTGATAATAGATCAAATCTAACATGAAATTTGAGTAAAATAGTAAGTCTTACATTTTGGTAAAAAATGAGTTAGACATGACCATGTAGCAGCTCATGTAAAGATTTGGAGATTTAGAGAATGGCAAACTCAGTGAGAGTCGATGATGTAACATGGTAGCCAAAAAAATGAAATGGGACATTGGACTGCATCAAGAGAAGTATCATATCCAGAACAAGGGAGGTGATGGCTCTTACTCTACTCTTTTCTTCATTAAGTCTCACTTGAAATACTGGGTTCTGTTCTGGGTGACAAATTTGAGGAGGTACACTGACAAATTATAATGTGTCCAGAGCAGAGTACCCAGGATGGTTGAAAGACTCTAAATGAAATCATATGAGGAAAGGTTGAAGGAATTATAGATGTTTAGACTGAAGAAGAGAAGATGGTGTGTGGAGAATGGCAACTATTTTCAAATATTTGAAGAACTCTTGGGTAAAAAAGGGATTGGAGTTCTTCTTGGTCCTAGAGGGGAAAACTAGGGTCCCATGGATATCACAAGGAGGCAAAACAGCTCAATATAAAGAGAAATGTTTAGGCAATTAGAGTGATCTGAAAAGAGAATGAGTACTCAGTTCTCTGTTGACAGATGTATTCAAGCAAAAGGCAGGTGAACATGGGATCCTAAAGAGGGAATTCATCTTTCAGTAAGGTGTACCACTGCAATAAAAAAGAAAAGGCAGTTGAAGTGTAGGACAAGGAAATGAGTAGCTCCTGACAGTAGCCCTAACTAGCTTCTTTTCCACTTTGAGGCTGCCTGCAGGATTAGTATTCCTAAAATGAATAGCTTTAGTACTATGTCTATAAAATGAATAGCTACACAGTAGGTTTAGTTGGCAGGAGGGAGAGGAAGAGCATCAGGTGGGATCTGTGTTGGAGAATAGTATGACTTGAAGATGAAGGGCTGGTCTGATGTTTCTGGATAGTTTGCTATATGTGTTTGTGATTTATTTCCTCAAGGAGTCTTGTGCACCAGGATGTTATTCAAGATGCTTGAAGGATAAAGTTGAGAGATAATGTTTTTTATAAGATCAATGACAGATGTATTCTTAACAACACCTTCTTTAGGTGCTCCTACATCAGAGCATATGGAATCTTGACTCAGTGGTTGGATTGGAGGACCTTTCAGATCCTCTTCAAGTCATGGATTTTATTAAAAACAAAGCCTAGAGAGTTGAAATGACTTACTCAAGGAATTTGGAATGGTAATTCTGCCACAGCCACTACCTATGAGATCTTTTAGTGGAAAGGAAGTCTTTGAGGAGATTAAAAATGCAATCTTCCCCTTATCAAATGGAGGAGAAAGAATGGGGGGAAAAATAACTCTGAGTGAGCTATGCCATATATATGGGAAGAAGAGAGAGCTGATGGTATTTGGTCTTGGGAGATTAAAAATATTCTAGAGTAGAAATGATTTCTCCAAGTGTGCATGATACACCGTTGAAAGGAGATGGTGGGGGGGGGAAGTTGGAGAAAAGGAGGGAGCCACACACAGAATAACCTAAACCCACTTGAAGTAAGGTGACAAGGGGAAAATAGTTTTGTACTAAAAGAGGTTGAGCAAGGTCAAATAATTAAACAAAAACCTAGGAGAGATAGTAACAACCAAGACAGAAGAATCTTCTCCAAAGGAAGGAAGACTGAGGCACTCTTGTCAGTACCCCAGGTATACCTTGGAGACCAGCCAAGGGCTTTAGCCTGGGGGCCAGGCAAGAAGAAAGGAAAGAAAGTGGGAGGGAGAGGCCCATAAAGTGGAACATGGTTATTAGGCAAGGGAAGAGGGAATAAATTATTGAGAAGGGGAATGGAAGCTTAGGACCTATCCCATTGAAAAATCAGTCATAAAAGGGGAAAGATGAGATTTTTAGTTTCCTCCAAGTCCCAACTGGATTTTTATAATGGGTTCTCAAAATAGATCCTTAAATAGATCAGAAAAAAAAGTAGATCCCAAACTGGAGCTCTCAGATCCCCAGCTTGTGTTACAAGATCAATGCTAGTAAAACAGAATCTATGCTAACCAGGTATCTCTGACCTGGAAGCCTCTGCCAGAACCTGACTCTAATGCTAGACGTCATTTCTCTGTGATCAACTCTGACCACTTGTCACAATCATAAGCAGGACCAGCCAATGCTCACAGACACCTATGGCCTTCCAAAATGTGGGTATGGTAGGAGGCTGTGATATGTATCCTCCTTTGTCACTTTGAAGTCAGAAGCAAGTCCCAGGCCAGGACCATTTAAAAAAAAAAAGACATCATCAGCTTTTGTACTAACTGACCATGACAAAGAACAAGAGACCAAGAAGTACCAAGTCAAGAATGGAACTCACAACACTGACCTCCACTGACCACTAGGTGTCACTAATGTGTCTCCTCTTAGACATGGAGGTGCATTTCCACATGATGGAAGAGGCTCCTGGGAGATAGCCAGTTGTCCCTCCCCTTCTCCCTACTTTCTCTGCTACACTCTGAGTAGTAGAAATATTGGGTAGGTGGTGGCAGTCTCCAGCTGCTAATTTGGCTAATTCAGAGCCACATAGACAGATACCAGATGATGAAGCTGGCATTGGTGAACGACCAAGCCCAATAATGTGAGAATCGAGTGCCTTGAAGGCATTAGACATCTCACTGTGGGTGGTCAAAGGAGATTTGAAGGCTCTGCTTTTCTACAAATCCCATTTCTATTCCTGTGTTCTGCCTCACCCAACCCTACCAACCCATTCCATGTAGATCCCTCATAATTCCCTCCTCCCACCTTCCCCTCTACTCACTGCTCTTTCTCTGTTCCTACACTTTCTCAACACCCTTGAAGATGTGAGAGGATATGCATAGGGGAGGAGGGGGGAGCTTCTAGCCTGCAGTTCTCAAAAAGTGCAAACAGATCTTCAGCTGGCATCATCACGAGACTACCTATCCATTTCAAAAGCTAACCAGGAAGGTATGAGGTTGCCTGATCCTGGCTCTTGCTAGAATACCAGATCTACTTCTCTCTAAGAGTTCTTGGCCATTCCCTTATACGCTTTCTGTTAAACAAGAAGCTATGACAATGGGATAAATGTCTTTCCATTCGGGGCTTGATGTCGATGGGGAATGGGAGAGGAAACAGCTGTGGCTATAGAAACCCTGCATAATTCTGGGAGAAGGAAGCAGTAGAAGAGATGATATGATGAAGATTTCTTCTCTCTCCTGGGCTAGAGCTGCACAATGGGCAGTTACAAAAGGTGTTTTCTAGACCTGGTTGGGAAGACATATCTCCTCTCCTAGGTCAAAGTCTTCTAGGCCTGTTTGGGAAGAGACACTATCTCTCCTAGGTCAAGGTCAATAATCTAGATGACATTTCATGGGCCAGACCATTATTGGGATGATGAGGTGTGGATGAGAGTGAAGGTGGAGGAAAGAAAGGATGTTGGGTAAAGCACAAATAATTTGACACTTCCAGGTGGGTGAAGGGGCTCCTAAATAAGGAGACTATATATGGCAAGAAGTTTGGGGTTGGTGTTTATATGTAGGAGAGACAGTTCTTTTAACCTGGTGGGTTGACAGTAAGTTCTTAGACTTCATACTCCCACATGAGGGAAGGGAAGTGCAATAAGGGATGGGGAACTGTCCTCCTCCTTTCCTTAGGGAGCCCTATATGGGTGGAGAAAGGAAAAGCCCAAAGAGGGTAGAAAAGGCAATGGAGCATGTCAGGAAGTGGGCACATGGGCCACCCCCTGACTGAGAGGTGTTCAAGTCTCTTCAGAGAAGTCCGGTTGGCATCAAGGTGGGAGTTAGATGATCACAGACTGCAGGAGCCGGAAACACATCATCAGGTCCAGTGGGATAGGTGGCTTCAGCTGGTTCCCATCGAGCCGCAGGTAGCGGAGGTGCGGCACGTTTTCCAAGTCTGAGGAGAATTCATGGAATGCAACCAGGTTGTTGGGGCAGATTTGGGTCCCATTGATTTCTATGAAGAGAGAAAAAGAGAGGAGAAGAGGATAAGGCAAGGGAAGAAAGTAGTAGACATGGGTTGGGACTGAAATGGGGAAGACATTCCAGGAGAGAAACAATTGGAATCAGGATTTCTGGGTGACTTGAAGGTGGGGGTGGGGGTCTTATGTTTCCTGGGTAGCTTTCCTTGTACAGTTGTGTTTGTGGTCCCTATTCTTCATGTCCCTGGTGAAGTATCATGAATGTGCTATATGCTGCCCGACAGCTAAAGTTAGGAAATGGTGACTATTACATTGTTCTCTCTGACCCTGGGTGGCAAGGGGAAATAGGCTAAGAATAGCTTCTCCTCCATACGCTGCAGGGTTCTGTACCCTAGTTCCCCTGGCACATATTTTTAACAGCCTGCGATGTCTGGTTTCTCTTCCTTATACACCATTGAATGTTCACCTCCTCCCAGCTCCCCTCTGCTCAATAAATCTGCACCTGGTCTAAGTCTGATTGGAAATGGTTGTGAATCCGGAGATACCATCTCTTTTCACCATCCTAACTTCTGGCTAGAGAATATTAGGTCTAGACATTCTGAATGTAAACACCTTGCTGCTAATGATTTGCTTTATTTCACTGATTTAATCTAGACTAGAGATAGCTAAATATAACAGGAAGAAAAGGTTCTAGTTCTGACAACCATTTGTTAGCAGGGTGACCTTGCCAAGTTACTTCTGCCTACTCCTGTCTATTCAGAACTTATTTCCTCTTCCATTCATTCACCTGCATGAATATTATGCCTGTGCATCAGACCCATCAAGTTATCTGGAGGGGGGTGCGTGATAATTAAGATCCCGTTTAACTCCTTCTACAGATCTCTTTCAGCACTGCTATACTGATAGAATAAGCAGGTATTTCCTTTGCTGTTAACAACTGCAACTCTGGGAGTCACTGCTACTGCCTCTAGTCACCAGTGAGACCTTTTATGGACACTCTTCATACAGAGAAGTTTATATCTTATCCTAGAGGCAGTAAGTGGCCATTTCAGCTTCCTAATCATAGCAGTGACGTGGTCAGATCTGTGCTTTAGGAGCATTAATTTTGTAGCTGTGTGGAGGATTGATTAGAAGGGGAGAGATGGAATGTAAGGAGATCAGTTAAGAGGCTATTGCAATAGTCCAGACAAGAGGTGATACAGTACTGATTCTTAGGAATCATTAATGACATGAGAAACAGTCTTCTGTCTCAATATGTGCTCACAATGTATCTGCAGCACCCTGCTTCTTGTGAGGTTTTCCAAATATAAACAAGCATTAAAGCATTTCACATACAGAATGTGTGCTGAGTAAATATACTGCATTTGGAGGAGGAGGGGAGAGCAATAATAATTATAGAGCTGAGGAAAGGGGGTAGCACCTAAGCTGTGCTTTGAAGGAAGCTAGGGATTGCTAGCAATGGATAGAGGGTCAGGCTTGGAGTCAGGAAGATCTGAGTTCCAATCTGTCCTCAGATTCTTACTAGCTGTGTGACCCTGGGCAAATCATTTGACCCTATTTGCCTCAGTTTCCTCATCAGTAAAATGGCAAAGGAAGGAAATGGCAAACCTCTCTAGTGTCTTTGCCAAGAAAACCCCAAATGGGGTGGTGAAGAGAAGGACTGAACAACAGTAAAAAGGGATTTTCTGTCCAAGGCAGTCTTCTCAAATTGCTGCTCTATCAATACAACCTCTTCCAATTTCCCAATGATGAATATCACCAGTGCCAGTTCTAATGGAAGAACATGGATCCAAGTCTATCAGATCAGATGACAATGCCCAGACAAAGTCAATACCTCTGCCCCACTGTCCCAGGAATGTAAGTGGAGATAACAGTCAGAGGCTTGGCTGCAATGGAATCATTGCTGAACGCAAGTGTGGGAGGGTCTGTGAGTGTAACCTGTACAGATTGTGAACACAGACTATAATCCCATCAGCTATCACCTATCTGTTACAATTGTTCCCCCAAGTTTTTCATTGTTGAGTCTCCACTAAAATATTGGGGGGGGGCAGACTTTGTGGAGTGCTTATGTTACCACCAAGGTATTATGCCTTCTGATACAGGCACACTAGAGAAGGGGGAATGGAATAAGCATTTATTAAGCACCTCCTATGTGCTAGGTACTGTGCTAAGTGCTTTACAAACATTATCTCATTTGATCCCCACAATAGCCCTGAGATAGGTGCTATTATTATCTCCATTTTATAGATGAGGAAACTGAGGCAGACAGAGGTTAAGTGACTTGCACAGGATCACATAGTTAACTCCGGGCTCAGCACTCTATTCACTGCACCACCCAGCTGCCACAAGACTAAGTAAACGCTATCATGGCTATAGCTATAGCTGACTTTATGACACAATCATCTTCATCAATCCTTTGGTATTCTCTGGGCCGTAGACTTTAGGCAGCTTAGAATATAATCCAGTGGCTGGACTTTCTTGAGGGACGCAGCACAGGGGGACACAAGTATAAACACATAAGGAAAGCCACCTGGGAAAGAGAAGGGCCTCCCGATTTGGCCAAGAAGTTGTTTCATCTGCTCTCCTGGCTCTGATTCTCTTCGCTCTGTGATTGTATTATAATGGGCCAGCTTGAATAGCTGCACTGAGACTCTTTCTGTCCTGGTGTTCACATGCTGCCTCAAGACAACCTCGGATTAGGAGAGGGTCTTCATGCCCTCAGCAGGGCTGAGCTGTTGCTTTCAATTCAGTTCAACAAACATTAATGGAACACCTACCACATGGGAGACACCATACTAGTCGTGTTGGGGGTACAAAGACAGAAACAAAATTGCCCCTGCTGTCAAGCTGCTTGCATTTTATGAAGAGGAAAGCAACATGTGATGCAATAAGAAAGCAACATGTAACACAAAAGTATTGTACAAAATGTATATAGTAAATTCAATGCATTTGGAGGAGGATGACGGGGAGAGCAGTAATAAGTAGGGAGAAGAGGAAAGGCTTCCTGTAGGGATTCTATGAAACTGAAGTAAGGAGGGAGGGCATTGCAGGCATGGGGCACAACCTATGCAAAGACACAGAAGTGGGAGATGGAATGTGTTTGTGAGGGACAGCAAGTTAAGCCAGTTTGGCCAAAAGATAGAGTGCATGAGGAGAAGTAAGTGAGATCAGTTTAGAAAGATAGGTTGGAGCCATATTGACTTTAAATATAAACTCCTCATATAGAGAAGTATATCTTACCTTAGAGGCAGTAAGTGGGCACTAAGCTTTCTAGTCATGGGAGTGACATGATCAGATCTGTACTTTAGGAGTATTAATTTTGTAGCTATGTGGAGGACGGGATGGGAAAGGGGAAGATTGAAGACAGGGGATCAGTTAAGAGGCTATTGCAATAGTCTGGACAAGAGATGATGAGGTCTGAACTAGGGTGGGGACCATGATCAAATAAGATAATATTTGTAGAAAACAACCACCACAAAAATGCTAAGCATGCTGCCTGGCAAATACTAGGCACTACATAAATGCTTATTGCCGTCCCCTTTCCCTTCTCCATTCTAGTTCCAGTCAAACTGACCTAAATGTTTTTCCCCATGCACAATATTCCAGGCCCCATCTCAGCACCTTTATACAGACTATGCCCTGGGGCATGGAATGCTCTCTACCCACGTGCTTCCGGGAACCTCTACCTTCCATCCAAGTCATTTTGCGGCTTCCTATGTGAAGCCTCTCTTGATTCTCCAAGTTGCTAGTATACTCCCATTACTTTGTATTAACTTCATATAGGCAGCATGGGTGGATTGACCCACGAGGTTTTATGAGGGCTAGTTTTCAAAGCAGAGGCAGATGTGCCTTGCCTCATTCCAGTCCTGGAACCATTCTCTGGTTTCAGTTTAAGCAACCATGTAGAAACTTTGGTAAGCCTACTTGTGGTCATAAATGACTAAGTTGCTGGTACTGTGTGAAGATGAAAAGTCTGCTAATTGGCTGTGGAGCCAGCAGAGCAGATAACACAGAAGGGGCTCAGACAGAACTGAGGGTGCACATAAAAGGTATAAACCACTGATCCACCAGTCTCTTTTTTTCTTGGTGGCTTGGCACAAGGAGAACTGTTTTGAGCTGGTGGGTGAGGGGAAGAGGGAATGACCTATCTTCCACATAGCTCTGATGCATCTGTGAACACATACTGCCTCAATTTCTTTTGTGATTGTTATTTCCTGATCTTAGGAGAATGAGTATTCTGAGATGGCAGTGACTGGGTGACCTGGTGAGTTTGAAAGACCCAGAGGTGCTGTGAAAGGTCCCACTGGTGACTAGAGGCAGTAGCAGTGGCTACCAGAGTTGTAGTTGTTGACAACAAAGAAAACACCTGCAGGCAGGTAGTAAGAAGTGGCAGCTTCAGGAACTATGCTTCCTTGAAATGACAGAAATGCTGGCTATGGACTTGAGAAAGGTATTGATCCTCAAAGCCTAATTACATCAAAGGGGAACTTCATAAGAACACCACAAATTGAGGAAAAAAAAGGCCTTCCAGTGCCAGCACTTATGAAGTGCTACTTTGCCACCTGTGTTCCCTTCACATGGACTTCACTACCCGTGTACGTAAGTTTGAGCCCACTCTTCCAGGTACCTTGTGAGTTCGAGGAGACACAAGTAACTTATAGGAGAATGTGTTTGCACCAATTCTTCTTTCTATTGTTGTTGTTTGGTTGTTTTGAGTCATATCTGACTCTCCATGACCTCATTTGGGGTTTTCTTGGCAAAAACACTGGATTGGTTTGCCATTTCCTTCTCCAGCTCATTTTATAGATGAGGAACTGAGGCAAACAGGGCTAAATGACTTGTGCAGGATCACAGAGCTAGTAAGTGTCTGAGGCCAGATTTGAACTCAGAAAGCTGAGTTTTCCTGACTTCACTATATCCATTGTGCCGCCTAACTGTCCCTTTCTTGCTATACCTTCCCTATAAATCCCTTTTCCAAAAGTTAATAGAGTTCAATTAACAGATTGACAATGGAGACCACACTGGTGGGGGCTCAAAAGCTTCAGTGTTTGAAGACACAACGCCTCAGAGCTACCCCTAGGATGCTGAGAGAAGTGATCTGGAGACTGTGACTATTAGTATTCTGTTGGGGATGTGACCCCAGAGAGGATACTGAATACGTACTTCATATTTATTATATGTGTGTGTGCTATTGTCTCTCAATGGAATGTAAGTTCCTTGAGGACAGGGACTTTTTAATTTTTGTCTTTATATCCACGGTGACTAGCACAAAGTAGTCACTTTGTTGTTTTTTTTTCTTTTGATGTAACCCCACAATCAGAAACAATACTCAGGTGCCCCCCTATAGGGCATGGGAAAGAAGTAGCCACCCATGCAGAGCTCCTGAATGGGAAGGATTGCTCTCTTTACCCTGGGTCATCCTTGGAGAGGCAGTTGTTGTTTAGTGAGGCATCTACAGTTGGAAGACTTTGGTCTCAAACTCCAGTCTGGCCAATTACTACCTGTCACCTTGGTCAAGTCATGTTAACTCCTCTGAACCTCAGTTACCTCCACAGTAAAGCAGGGATTGTAGCTTTTGAGCTATCGAGATCACCAGGATGTTATAAGGTAACACTGTGAATCTTAAAACAACCACATAAATGAGAGCCACCTTTGGACTACTGGTACGGACTGGTGTAGACTCTGGAAGACCATCTGGGCCAACCTGCACCTGAACAAGAGTCCCTACAGCTAACAGCACTAAGTGATGGTTCAGCCACAATAGGAGAGAGCTCACTGTCTCCCAAAGGGAGCAGCTCTAATTGTTAACAAGATTTTTCTTGACATCCAGCCTAAATTTACTTCTTTGTAGCTTCTACCCACATTGCTCCTAGTTCTGCCCTCTGCACCAAGCAAAGCAAGTAGAATCCATCTTCCTCATGACAGCCCTGCCCACACTTGAAGACAGCTATTCTCCCCAGATCAAATCTTTTTATCTCCAAGGTTAAACGTTCTTAGTTTCTCCAACCAATTTTTTTTCTTTTTTTAGGCAATTGGGGTTAAGTGACTTGCCCAGGGTCACACAGCTAGTAAGTGTCAAGTGTTTGGTCTGAGGTCAGTTTTGAACTCAGATCCTCCTGACTTCAGGGCTGGTGCTCTAGCCGCTGAGCCACCTAGCTGTCCCAAAGGTTCACTGGTTAAGCCCAAGCTGACATCTTTTTTTTGGGGGGGCAATTGGGGTTAAGTGACTTGCCCAGGGTCACATAGCTAGTAATTGTCAAGTGTTTGGTCTGAGGTCAGTTTTGAACTCAGGTCCTTCTGACTTCAGGGCCGGTGCTCTATCCACTGTGCCACCTCGCTGTCGCTCCAATCAAATTTCATATGACATGATCTCAAAGCCCTTTACCATCCTGATTGCCTCTATTGGACATTCTCCATCTTATCAATGTACTTTCTAAAATGTGGTGACCAGCCTGAACATAATAGTTTGACTAAGACAGGACTATCACCTCCCTAGTCTTGAACACTGTGTCTCTCTTAATGCCATCTAAGATCACACTAATATTTTCGGCTTCCATATCACATTGCTGATTCATATGGAGTTTGCAGTCCAATAAAACCCCTAGCTCTTTCTCAGTCAAACTGCTGGCTCTCATCCTCCATTTTGTACTTATAAAGTAAATCTCTCTCTCTCTCTCTCTCTCTTTCTCTCTCTCTCTCTCCCTCTCTCTCTCTCTCTCTCTCTCTCTCTCTCTCTCTCTCTCTCTCTCTCTTCTCTCTCTCCCCTCCCTCCCTCCCTCCCTCCCTCCCTCTCTCTCTCTCTCTCTCTCTCTCTCTCTCTCTCTCTCTCTCTCTCCTCCCTCCCTCCCTCCCTCCCTCCCTCTCTCTCTCTCTCTCTCTCTCTCTCTCTCTCTCTCTCTCTCTCTCTCTCCTCTCCTCCTCCTCCTCCCTTTCTCTTCTCTTTCTCTTTGTCTCTCTACTTCTCTCCTTTCCTCTTTTCTCCTCTTCTCTCTCTCTTTCTTTTCTCTTCTCTGTCTCTGTGTGTCTCTCTGCCTATTTATTTTTGGCTCTCTCTGTCTCTCTGATCATCTCTGTGTGTGTGTCTCTCTCTCTTTCTCTCTCTGTCTTTCTCTGTCTCTCCCTTTCTTTATATTTTGCCCAGAGCCTAGTTCAATGCTTGGCATATTGTAAATAAATTCTTGTCGCCTACCTGCCTTAGTACAGTGCCGGGCACATATAGGGTCTTACTAAGTTATTGTTGCCTGCCTCAGCACAGTGCCTGGAACATTGCAGGCCCTTACTAATTGCTTGTTGTTTGACTCCTCATCCTGTCCCCCCTCCACCATTGCTCACGCCCATTCCCCTCACACCATCCATCACTCACTCTGAATCTCATTGTTGTTGAGGTACAGGTGTTCCAGCCGGTTGTTGATGGCCGGCACGTTGCTGAGCTTGTTGTGAGACAGGTGGAGGACCAACAGGTTGGAGATGTTGAAGGAGTTCTTGGGGAGCCCCTTGTCAGACAGCTGGTTGTAGTTGAGCCGGATGAAAGCGAGGTTGGGGAAGCCCTTGAAGTAGCCGTTGGGGATGTTCTCGATGTTGTTGCTGTCCAGGAAGAGCTGGTGGATGGCTGTGGGGACCTTGGGGGGCATCTTCCTCAGGATGTTGTGAGCCAGGTTGAGCTGCATGAGGTTCTTGAGGCCCTGGAAGTGTCGGGCTTGAAGACCCCGTCGCTGAGCTTGTTGTGGTGCAGATCCAAGAGCACCAGGTTCTCCAGCTTGCTAAAGGCACCAGGAGGGATTTTGTTGATCTGGTTCTGGCTCAGCCTCAGCTGCTCCAGGTTGCGGGGAAGGGCCATGGGGACCTCCTGGAGCTGGTTCTTTTCCATGTAGAGAAAGACCAAACTCTCCAGCTTCTCCAACACCTTCTGGTCTATCTTGCGGATACGGTTGTTGTCAAGGTTGACCCATCTTAGGCCAGTGGCATTCCTGAAGGACTCTATGGGAAGGTCTGTGATGAAATTGTTCTGAAGGTAGAGATAGTGAATTCGGGACGGGATGACTGGTACCTTTCGCAAATTGCGGCTGTCACAGTACAGGGCTGACGGGAAGTCTGGGGGGCAGTAGCATTCTCTAGGGCAGTCAGGAAAGATTGATGGGGGTCCTGGGGGGAGGGGAGGAGGCAGGTCTGTGGGTTCAGAGGGCTCTTCAAGGACAGGTCTGTATGGAGGAGGGACTCTGGGTGTAGGCTTGGGTTTAGGCCCAGGTCTAGGTCGCCTTTTGGGGGGCCTGTTTTGGCTATGGGCTCCCAAGAACAAGATGAAGAAGAGAAGGAGGGCCCAGTAGAGAGAGGGCTTCATGGTCCAGGGTGTTCACCTGCAGTAGGGAGATACAGGAGGATCATTAGAGTATAAAATAGACTAAGGCAGCTTTTTTTTTTTTTGGCAATTGGGGTTAAGTGACTTGCCCAGAGTCACACAGCTAGTGTCAAGTGTTTGGTCTGAGGCCAGATTTGAACTCAGGTCCTCCTGACTTCAGGGCCAGTGCTCTATCCACTGTGCCACCTAGCTGCCCGAAGACTAAGGCAGCTTGACAAAAAAAAATGGTCAACTCTGCAAGAGTTCCCCAAAAGACAACAGAAGAGGATTCATCTCATATAGGAACCCTGGTGAAGGGCAGAGAGAGGGGTGGGTGGGGAGCCTGTATTTTCTCTGTTTTCTCCAGAAAAGTAGGGATACTCTGCACAGTGGCCTTGGCCTCCTGGGAACATGACTGAGTCACTCTGAGGAGGTCAGTGACTAGCTCATTAGGAATCAGGAGTCTCCACTCTGCTCCAAGATTGCAAAAATGCCATCTAACCTTTCATTTGCCCATCTGTGCTAGAGGGAAATTGTCTCTCCCTCCCAACCCCAGTAAGAAAAGGGTGGTGGCGCAGTGTGAATCACCAGGTATTACAACTGGTAGACACCTTAGAGATCATCCAGCTCAAAGGTTCTTAACTTGGGGTTCACGGACCCCCAATGGGCAAGTGGATAGATTCGGGACTCTGTGAACTTCAATGAGAAAAAAATGACATCTTTATCTTCACTAGCCTTTAGTTTCCTTCGTACTCCTGTGTATTTTATGTTACACATCTAAAAACCTTCTGGGAAGTCCATGACAATAGATTACTAAGGGGTTAGTGATGCAAAAAAAGGTGGACAAGGTGAACAACTTTCTTTTCCAGATGAGGCAGCTGAGACCTAGAGAACAGAAATGACTTTCTCAAGTCACCGCAGTGAGGTAGTAGCAGAAACAGGATTGGTCCTGAGTCTCCACATTACCAAGCTTTCGGGAGCTGCCTGGTAAAAAGGTACCACCGGAGTCGGACCATCCAGGGCAGCTCTGTGCTGCTCCTCCTGCTCACCCTCCCACTTGGCTCACACAGCCCCAGTCTTTGCCTGCAGCACACAGACTCAGAATTTCCCTCAGACATCGTGTTCTTTGGAAAAACAAACAGAAAGATGTGAGATAGAAAAGGCCCTTTCAATCTGTCTGACCTGGGATTGCTGCAATCCATCTCTACTAAGAAAAAAACAAAACGTGGGCTACCACAGCCAGAGAGACTGAAGGCAGATGTCAAGAACTTTCTGGCCATCAGCAGTGGGAGAACATTGGCATGGGAGACTGAGGGGAGGTGGAGAGTCTTACTCCACCAATGGGAGGCCCCTATCTGGGGTGGAGCAGCGCTGTCCGAAGTCAGAGAGAGGGGCAAGCTGACCCCTTGAGTTTTTTGCTAGACTGGAGATTCTGGGATTCCTACCCCTGCTTTCTACCCCTCCCCAACTACTGGGACTTTCCCAGGCGCCTCCTGAGGGTCACATTGCTGATAGGTTGTCAAATACTCTAAGTGAAAAGGAAGTCAGAGAGTTGATGTATGATGCCAATCAGAGAAATGAGGACGATTGTGTGTCTGAAGGACAGTGTCTTCTTCTTCATCATGGTATTTATCCTTATCAACTTGTACATTATATCCATCCACTGGAATGTAAGTGGAGGGACTGTTTTTTGTTTTGTCTCCATAATTTCAGAGCCAAGCCCAGCGCCTTGATCTGGGCTCCTTGGATTGAATTGGGTTTGTTTGCCATAGCATCAGTCCTTTCAGACTAGCCTACTGTGGGATGGGATGAGATTTACAAGCCCTCAGGTGGTGGGGGGCTTCCCCTGACTTTCCCTGGCAAGGGATTGCTGCACTACCTCTCCTCCAGGGCATTTTCCCTCCACTTTAAGCCCTGAAGTTGATCTGGAGCAGAACTTTGAGAAGCAGAGAGAAGAGCTAAAGGAAGGTGGCCAAATAGCATTCATTAGAAGAGGAGTAACAGAGGTGAAGGTTCTAGGAGCACTGGGAAGGTCTCAGGAGTGCTGGCTGCCTCACTACATAGGTGCTACAAGGAGGAGGGGCTGTGTTTCAAAGGCTAAGTGACCTAGGTTTGTCTCCCTTAGCACTGATGACATTCTTCTAACTATCCCAACAGGCCTGCCACCTCCATGCTCCCCCCCATACCACAGGGAAGACTTGTCTACAAACTCCTCCTTCCACTTTCCTGGGCCCTGGAGAACTTATTAATAGACCAGCACAGGATCCCTCCAGGAAGGGACCAACTGGGACACCTCAGCAAAATGGGTGGTAGAGCCAGGAATAGGTGTCTGCTCTTGGGGTCCAAACCTAGCCCCAAGAAGAGCTTACTTATGCAAGCGGACCAACCCTCTCCATCCCTCTCCATCACTCCCCACTCCACCCCTGCCCCTATGGCTGGTCTTCCAAGGCTGCTCACATACAGCGAACTGGCTCCCTCCACAAGATCGACCTCTGGGCTACTCAGTTCTGGTGGTGCTGCAGTGGTAGAGAAAGAAAGGGGCCCCACAGATGAGGGAAGAGAAGTGCTGCCAGCCCTCAGCGGGTTCCTGCCAGCTGGCAGCTGCATCCAAATGCCCAGACGACCCCCCAGAGAGCACCCGGTGGCTTCTGTCCAACTGATGGTGGGGAAATATCAAGAAGGATGAGGGCACTGGTAAAACAACAAGAACTTCTAACACTCACTCCCTCCTCTCCCCTTTCTGGGTTGAGAAGTTTTCCCAGCATCAATGAGGTGGCTGGAAAAGATATGAAGAACATCTCCCCAGTTACCTACCCTCAGCCCCATTCCATGCTCCACTCCCTTTTGCTTCTTTGCGCAGACACTGGAGCCTCTCTCCTCAGTAAGGAGTCCTTTTTCAAATCCAGATCTGACTCTCCTTCCTTGCTCCCCAATTGTTGTTATTATTCAGTCATTTTTCAGTTGTGTCCTACTCTTTGTGACCCCGTTTGGGGTTTTCTTGGCAAAGATACTGGAGCGTCTTGCCGTTTCCTTCTCCAGCTCATTTTGCAGATGAGGAAATTGAGGAAGCTAGGGTTAAGTGACTTGCCCGGGTCACACAGCTGGTAAGTATCTGAGGTCAGATTTTAACTCAAGAAGATGAATCTTCCTGATTCCAGGCCCAGCTCTTTCTCCACTGCACCACCTAGCTACTCCCCAAAAAGACTAATTCATTTTGCCAGATTTCTCAAATGCTTCCTCACCAGGCTGTGGTCCCTGAGAAGTCCCAGGGCACAGTGGAGAGCCTCTGCTATGCCTTGGTGAGCCACAGCCAACTCAGGTGTTTGGGAATTTGCTTTACTTGACTATGCACGTTTGTTACAAGGATTTCGTTTTTCTTTCTTTTTTTCTAGAGGGATAGATGGGGGAGGGAGAAGAAATAAGTGCCTGGTAATTGAAAAAAAAAATTTAAAGACCAAAGTGGGGGCAGAGATGTGTGAGTCCCCAGCTCATTCTTTGGGCATAGTGGTAACTGCTGACAGGACAATGTCCTTTTCCCAGAAAGCACCTCTTGCCTCTTTTTTCTCTTTCACCCCTTCCCTTCTCTTCCTCCCCTCTCCTTCCTCCACCTTCTCTCTGTCTCCTCTCTCAATCTCTCTTCTGTCTTCTCTCTGTCTTTCTTCCTTGTCCTCTCTCTCTCTCTGTCTCTGTCTCTGTCTGTCTGTCTCTCATCTGTCTGTTTCTGCCTCTATGTCTCACTGTCTTTTCTTCACTCCCCCTTCCATCTCTTCCCTCTCCCTCTCTCCTCTTTACTCTTATTTTCTCTCCTCGGCTTCATCCGGTCATGCTTTCTCCACCCCTTCTCTGTAGCACGCCTTCCAGCTGGTTCCAATCATAGGAAAGACTGGCCACTTGCAGAGTGACTACAGATATGCCCAGCTTCCAAGGCTAGAGTCACATCCTCTCACACCCCATAACCACGTGCGTTCACTCACCCTTCTCACATACATAAACACCCACATGTGCCCACATAGGCATGTATGCATTCTCCCACATACACATACATGTCCATGAACATATGCAACATGCCTAGGCAAGAGGGAGGAGGCTTGTTCTGGATTCCAAGATGATTCTTCAGCTTCTTTTAAAGTGCTTTCCCCCCAGGGCATCCCCAACATCCATGGCTACTTCCTTTCTTCTCCTCCATTCTCTTGCCCCCAAAGTTTTTCACTAATCTCTAGATATCAATCAAAGCATTAACTCTCTGTATGACTTTGGAGAGATCCCTCCATTTCCTTCTCTATAAAATGATGGGTTTGCACTAGAGGATTCCTCAGTCTCTTCTAGTTCTGGGTTCTGACTTACCAGCTGTGTGACTAGGAGGAGATCACTTAACCTCTCTGTGTCTACTTGTCAGGAACAGCTTGAGCTAGATAACTTCGAATGTTTCCTGCTAGCTCTAAATCTATCCCCCTATGAATACCTGCCATGTTAGGCTTAAATAAGATAAATGTACATAAGGTTCTCTGTAAACTTTAAAGCACCATTTAAATGTCAGTTATTATTGGTACAATTCTAAGACTATGGCAAAACATGGAGACATACACAAAATTGAACTGACTGCAACAGATGATACTTGGGAGGATTAGCTATGGTAGCTTCAGGATTTGGAGCTCTTAAGTGAAGTAATAAGAAAAGCAATGGATTGGGGATCAGGAAACCTGTGGGTTCTTGTCTCCCCTCTAGCATTAACCGACTATGTGACCTTGGGTCTGTTATTTCATCTCTGAAGGCCTAAAAGTTCCCTTCCAGCTCTGACAACCTCTCAGTAGCTCCTCATCTGACCAGTCCTAATATTGATTGGATGGCAAGGGTGGAAACTAGGAGGGGAATCCTAGGTCCATGTGTGGCCTTGGGACCTTGGGCAAGTGATTTCCTCTCTTTGGGTATCAATTTCCTTACTTCTAAGGAAAAGAGATTGGTAGGATTAATGCGGCTAAAGGTTGCATTAGTGCACGCATTTTTAATCTGGAGTCCATG